CCCTAATGGCCTGAGAGGGTACTTCCATTTAATTATTGGCTATTTGTATACAGTGCATGTGCTGCAAGATAGGATATGGTTTTTGAGGTTGCCAATCATTAAATACTATAGAGTATCATTTTTGCCCCTGTTAGAATTGTAATAGTAATGGTCATAACTAGTGATAATGATAATGGTAATGGTAATGATAGTGGTCGTGGTTGTGGTCATGGTTGTGGTCGTGGTCGTGGTCGTGGTCGTGGTAACAATAATTCAATACCATGTAAGAATTTAGTGTACTCAGGGTTGGACATAAGCACTTGCCCGCTCGCCCAGGTGAGTGTCTTTAGTGTCAGGCGAACACAAATCATTGATCACTCACCCGTTTGGTGAGTACGATTTTCGTCGCCAAGAAACTAATTAAAATTAATTGCAAAATGAACACTGTTCTTTACATTCCATTTTGCCGAGAAAATCTCTAAACATAAACTTACCATTTCTATTTTATAAAGTTTTATATTCTGAACTGTCTAATAAATTGGTGCTGAAAGGCTTCCTCCTAGTGATAATTACTTAACGTATGCACTTAAACAAAGTGATACTGCTGGTCACTATCAAGCCATCAGTGATCAGGTAAACATAGGGCCCAAGGAGAACAGACACGTTTACTCACAAACAGCAAGGGATCTCACGAAGATTCATCAATAAAAAACTATTTGAAATATAAAGAACCTCCAATGTGTTTTCTTGGGGTTTAAAACTAGTCAAATTTTTCATTGAAGAAATAATCCTCGGTCTGCCACGTGCTTGATGACGTTGTGAGCAAATTGTTTTCCCGTACTTTCCCAACACTCTGATCAGCACGTGTTCTCCCGGTAAGTTTAAAAATGGAGTAAACTGATCGTAGCCAAAATGTGGAAATACATTTCTGGAGTCTCTAAAGTTGTTGAAGAGAAAAAGAATGAAAAAGCCCCAAAAGCTGTCCGCGATACGCGGGAATACGAGGGGGGGGGGATGAACTTTTGGGTGAGTGAAAACTGATTCGGGTGAGTGCATTTTGTGAGTGCCATCAAAATTATCAAGTGTCCAACCCTGTGTACTACTGATGTTTTATTAGACTTAGGCTTGAGTTCCAGACGCTGTTCAACAAAGGAGCCTGATCCTCTCCATCCCCAAGAGTATGGCAAAATTCACTCAAAGTTAGCAAGGTTGGCGTGTAGTCTGTGATAACAGTTTTGGTTGGTGTAACTAACAGTTTGTCCCTTCTGGTCTTTCTAAGGAAAACAAGTTTACGAAGTGCAGTGTATACACTCTGCTGAAGTCCATATAGAGACTGTTAAAAACAAGAGACACTGAGGAATAGAACAGAACACATGCTATAACTTTTGTGTTCATTTTTTTTCTTGTCTATTGACTTAAATCACATTTTAATAATTAATTGATTGGTCTAGTAATCATTCAAGTAATTTACTAAATAAATATTTTTGGCAGCGCTGAGCAGGATCATCACTAAAGGAGTCAGCTCAAGGCAGAACAAGAACTGCAGAAATTTCTTGCTGTCATAATTGACAGAATGGAAGAGGGTAAGACAAACATTTACATGTCATCAATATGTCTAAGGTGGGAACAAAAACAATTGAAAACGATGTTAATTCAGTTATCCAACTAATTGACATTGGGTCCACACAGAAGAATTTTGCATGAGCTTATTGGGTGAAAGCTGCCAATAATGTACACAACATACATGTAATTAAAGATCAATTTATGGCATCTTAAATGTTTTATGAGTTACTGAAATTGGTCTGCATTTTAATATTTACAGACTGGACCATCGCACTTCTTAATAAAAACGCATATAACAGAAATGATTTCTCATGGTGATGGTAGAGTGATGTGCTTCGTTGACCTTCTTCAATGGAAGCATGATTCTAACCTGACAATGAATGTCCTGCTTCAGTTTTACCAAGTTGAGTCAGGTAACTCTGACTGAATTTTTATCACTTTTCATCTTCATAGACATCTAACTTACTTAGGCAACAGAGTACCATTTACCAACACATTACCCACAGACTGCATGTATTTGTTTGCTATTACAAAAAGTGTTCTTATTCCATTAAGTTTAGTTACAGTTTGACTACTCAAACTGGCCAGGGCCACCTAGAAGAAAGCTAAACAATCAAAATGTAAACTGAAAACAATGGACTGGTAGCTTTCATGTGTCGTCAAGTAATAAGGGTCTGTTTGTCACAAAAACATAAGGGCTATTGACTATTCTGCGTTATATACACTCTTAGAGATTCTGTCCTTGATGGTGAATTATCATAATTATAAATCTTGCTTGAAAAATTCATCTTGGAAACTCCTTTTACGACAACTGAACCAAAATTGTGGAAAAGCATATAAAATTTAGAATCGAAACTAACCAATCAACAAATGGCAAAGTGTCCTGAGAGGGTCACAACACTTTTCATTTTGTTGGCTTTTCATGGTTTTTGTTGGGTTACTATTGCTTGTATTCTTCAATATGGTTGGTTTTTTGATTGGTTAACTCTTTTTCAAATAGCCCAGTTCAAGTAGTCACACTGTAATTGTTGTTTCATGGCTGAACATTGACTATAGTCACTGACTCTTATGGTGTAGTTAAGTGGCAGTTCAAGTTACAAATTTTCCTAAGACTTATTTTCTGACTGTTTCAGAATGGACGCCTACCAGAATGTCTGCTACTACAGATGGATAAATGTTATTGTGAAAATAAAAATAAATATCTAACGGCATATTTGCAGCATACATGTACGTGGTAGAAAAACAGATTTTCAAGGAGTTCACACAGAATGCCAGAAGAACAACTGCAGAGGTGGAAATCGTTTATCAGAAGGGGAGAGGATATAAGGACAAGATCAGAAGCTGGTCAACAGACAAGGAGACCATTGAACTGCAAGAGGAAAAATGGATACTCCAGCATCTTAAGAAATACAGCACAAAAAAAGGTCAAACACAGACCTGCTGACCCTACAACAGAAAGACAGGAAAAAAGAGTAAGAAAGGCTCCTGGCTAAGAAGAACTCTTTTCCACTAGTAAGTACACTGTCTCATAGATACATGTAAGTTTTTAAAGAATCAGAGTGGTTAGTTATAATGCCATATGTTTGCCATGTAAAACCAACTGAAACTTTGTGAAACCCATTAAGGAACTAACACTATGACTGATTTTCAAGAAATTGCTTATTAGGCTTACTGTAGCCACTGATAACCAGAATTTAAGACATTTTTTAACTTTCTGATACAAAACAGAGGAACAACAGTGATAGTATGTGCTGAGACGCAACGAGAAAAGAAAGATGTTGAAAAATTGGATTTGATATTAACCCGCTGACACCTGTGCCGACCGTAAGTGGCCGTGGCGAGGGTTGGCCTTTGTTCCACTCCTGGCACTATCACCTTTGACCAAAATTGGCATCACTTATACTCAGGTTTGGCAGGAGGAAAAGATCTTTCCAATGATACCCAATCACAGTGATTGAGTCAATTGAGCCTAAAATATGCACAAAAATGCTTAGGAATTTGAGTGAAAAACTTGAAGCAAAATTTCCCTCAACTACACTTAGCTNTAAGACATTTTTTAACTTTCTGATACAAAACAGAGGAACAACAGAGATAGTATGTGCTGAGACACAACGAGAAAAGAAAGATGTTGAAAAATTGGATTTGATATTAACCCACTGACACCTGTGCTGACTGTAAGTGGCTGTGGCAAGTGTTGGCCTTTGTTCCACTCCTGGCATTATCACCTTTGACCAAAATAGACATCACTTATACTCAGGTTTGGCAGGAGGAAAGGATCTTTCCAATGATACCCAATCACAGTGATTGAGTCAATTGAGCCTAAAATATGCACAAAAATGCTTAGGAATTTGAGTGAAAAACTTGAAGCAAAATTTCCCTCAACTACACTTAGCTACTCCGTGGTAAGAATTTTCTGTCTCAATAATGCTTTCTCGGGAATTCTTGAACTGGAAGCGAGCCCAGTAGAAGGTCAACCACTGCAGCAAAAATATAGCAAAAGGAGAATAAGGAAAGACCCTGAAAAAACCCTGAAAAGCCTAAGGATGCAGGTCACTTTCTCATCCAAAAACTCAAAATCTTGAAATTTTGATTTCTGCACATGCCTAAACAAAAATGTCATAAAATGCAATGTTATTGAAAAGAATTTAGGAAACTGCTGTCAAGTTGCAAATGCCTTTTTGGGTAGATTGGAGCTCATTTAGCTGATATCCATGTTAAATGTCCATAATGTCCGAAGATGTGTTTTTGCCAAAAAGCTCCGGGTGTCAGTGGGTTAACTGAGTGAGTCTCAATGTCTTTGTGTTTGGTTTTGTGTACACAATACAGGTGGAAAAGTTTAAACGGAGATGTTACTATTCACTGTTCAGCTATTTCTACTGAAACTGTTTTTTATAATGGCAATACTACTCTTAGCCTTTCAGGGCTAGGGTGTGCAAAAATTCCTTAAAACTGCAATGCCTGGGCCGCAGTTGGCTGCTGTTTTTGATGAGTATTCTTATGTGGGAGGAGGGACATAGTAATCTAATATTAAGCACACTGGACCGCAGATCAAGAAGTCTGGGTTTGACTTTGAGCCAATGGTTAGGGTCTCTGCATTGTGTTCTTGAGCAAGGCACTTTACTCTCACACTACTTCTCTCCACCTACATGCAGATGTACAAATGGGTACTGGACAAATTTGATACTGGGTGCTAACCCTGCAACAAACTTGCATCCCATCCTATCCTATCATTGTGATGTCAAGCCTTGCCCCTTTAGGGTTGAAACTCGTTTCCTTTTAATTGTCAGCTCTATAAAATAGACACACTTGCATCCCATCCGTGGTGTACTCTATATCAATTAATGTGACAGAAACTGGGTTACATGTACGCTGTAGTGGGTTAGATCACTTGACCTGATGTGCAGACTTAACTTTACCTTCATAGTCCAAACACACCCTAGTAGGATTAAGTCTAATGACTGATTACTATATTGTGTACACATACATGTAGTTTGTAAAACCTAAGAGATCAAGGCTTCAGAAGGGGTAAAACAGTTCCCATTTGTTACTAGACACAAACCAGAAAGCTGTGTGCTGAGACTTACACGAGAAAGATTCATTTTGAGGCAATAGATTCCTTATCAGGTGAGTCTTTGTGTTCCTTTGTGTTTGCATGCTTGGAGAGGTAACTATCAGGTACTCTTAAAACAGGGCTCGAAAAAGTGCCATCCAGTCGTCCAGGACAACCAGGTTCACTTGAATTGATCTCTTCCTGGGCAAGTAACTTTTCATTCTCACTTGTGCAATGGGCAAGGGATTAGTCAAGCCATCTGCCAACTAAATCATTAAAATAGCAAACTGAGTCTTGCCCAGAGCAAGCAAAATTTGAGAGCTACTTGTCACAAGGGCAAGCTGGAATTCAAGTTTTTTTCGAGCCCTGACTCTCTTTTACCCTTGCTAAGGAATAATTGTTCAGCTTGTTGCATTGTGTTCTTGGACATGACATATTACTCTCACAGTGCCTCCCTCCCCCAAAAATACAAATGGGTACTGGGTGAATTTTATACTGGGGCTAACCCTAGCTGCAACACACTGTNGGGGGGGGGGTAGAAAGACAGTGACCCCTTATCATTGAGTACTACAGAAACTGGATGTGATAAGGTGTGGTAGTTTGGATAACTTGCCCTGATGAAGACTAACCTCACCTTCATCATCAAAACTTCCCCTAGTAGGGTTGAAACTCATAAAATCTAATGACTTATTTTTTATTGCATAGTTTGTATAAGTTAACTGAGATCAAGGAATTCCATAAAAGTTAAAACATTTACAATTTCTTACTAGATGTACAAAACGGAGACACAAGGAGACGAGCTATGTGCCGAGACTCAAAAGGAGAAAGAATTAAATTGAGACAATGGATCCCATAGTAGGTCAGTCACAATTTTATTTAATACGATTGGTACCATATAAGTATTAGGAATAATTTTGCTTAATGCAGACAGAAAATCAAAACAAATAGAGACGTTATTGTTCCACTGCCTTTCAGCTATTTCAGTAAACCATTGTTATGTGGCCTTATACCTTAGCCCTTCGGGGTAGGGTGTACAAAAATGCCTAAAGACTACAATGCCTGCTTGGGGTACTGTTGTTGAGGAGTATTGTTTTGTGGGAAGGGAGACAGAGGTCCAATCACTGCACATCAAGCACTCTGGGTTTGTGCCAATGGTTAGGGTCTCTGCATTATGCTCTTGGGCAAGACACTTTACTCTCACACTACCTCCCTCCATCTAAGTGTACAAGTGGGTATTGGGTGAATTTAGTACAGAGTTCTAACTCTGTGACAGACTAACATCCCATCCAGGCAAAATAGGAATACGCCTTATTGCTTAATGCAACAGAGACCTGGATAAGCTATGGTGGTTTGGATCACTTGGCCTAATGCAGACTTAACTTACCTTTATTATCGAAATTTGCCCCTGTAGGGCTGAAATGGAAAAAATATGATGGTTTATATTTAGTTGTGTAGTTTTTGAAATTGCATAAATAAGGGAACATAAGGTTAAAACATTTCCTTTTTCTTACTAGATACGAAACAGAGAAGAAACAATAAAAGCTTTGCCGAGACTCAAGAAGAAAAAGAAGAAAATTGAGACATTGGATCCCTTAGTAGGTGAGTCACGATTTTCTGCTTTTAATAGGAAGAGTTTTTAATCACTTGATGGTGCATGTACCAGGAATAATTGTACACAAAACAGGCAAAGACTTAAAATGAATAGGGATGATAATTATTGTTTCACTATTCTGATAATCAAGAAACCCATGTTATATGGCTAAGCATATACCCTAACCCTTCAGGGGTAGGTTATACAATCAATCATTAGGAATACAATGTCCGAGGAACTGTTGTTGATGAGTATTCAAATTTTGAGAAGAGAGGCCTAATATTGGTTCAGCGACCTGTTGCTTTCCGACCTATTGCTTTTTCATGTATCAATGTTTCCTTAGCCATTAAGCCTTATGATTGATCAGCTAAAATTTTCTCCTGATAATCATGAAGAAACAGTAGAGGATTAATTTAGAGAGTAATCTAAAAAAGGAATTGTCTCGATAACTCAAAACCAGTAAGGAGAATTTGTTTCTTGAAAAAGAACTCTGAATAAGGACTAAGCAATGACAAGAAAGGTGAGGAACTGGAAGATATTGTCTGGATATAATACCAAATTCTCAGAACAAACCCTGAAAGAAATTCACAGCAAAGAACACCAGACAGTCTGGAAATTTAGACGTGATGTTCTCGTTGAAAAAGATCATGGACGTTATCTTTTCAAGAGTGCCAAAGTAAAAAATGTACATGATACTGTAAAAAGTACATGACAATACTGCATAGATTCAATTTGAGTGGACAGATATAGGAATCTTATCCATAGATTTAAAGCTAGAGCCACCTTGTAGAGCATAATAACTGAGTGCCACATGCTAGTACTGCACCTGTCCTGAAAGTATAAATTACAAACATCAGTCTCATCAAATATTACTACTTTAATAGTTGGAGAGAAATGCTTCATAACTGCGTTTAAATCATGGAGTTATTTTTTTTGCCATGACATTTTTCGGATTTTCACCGTTTGAATTTCCCTCTGGGATTTCTAGATACCACGGGCAAATATTCTTGAAATGGCTGTAAAAGTGAAAGTCGTAGTCATGTCAAAACTAGCTGTAGCTGTCGGGTTGTCAGATCAAAGCTTAAGGTGAAAACCATAATTACCCGTACATTACTGTAAAATCTATTATAATTCGCTAATTGTCTTGCACGCACCTAGCTCTTAGAGAACGATGTTTGCTTGTTTGCATAAGTATTCAATTGCATTTGAACAACAGTTTGAATTTTAAAGCAACTGGCTTGCTATTCGCTTGTGTAAATATTTCAATTTTTGTTTGTATTTGGTCATAAGCTTCAGACAAATTACATCACCTTTAATTTAATTCTGTAAAAATGCGAAACTACCCGAGGGCTTTTTACTTCCAAAAAACTCACAAGTTATTTAAAGAAAGCGACTAAGTAACCACGCACTTGGATTCATCCTTGAGTAGAAAATGCAAATATTTCCCGTTTAGTCGCGCACATTTTTTCTGTGAAATATTTAGTGTGCTATTTTGCCGGTGAGCTTTAATCGCCTGCAATCGTTGCAAATGAAGGTTAAGTTTAGAGCGCTATATTTTAGCAGGTGCTATTTATTTCGTGTTGCTCCTTGTCCACGTTTTAAGTTGTTCTTTTATTGGAGAGGTTAAGCATGACATTTACGTCAAACTGCAAGCGGCAAAAATGAAACTTTTGCCGTCTGTCTTCAGCTGTTTATACAGTATAGTGAAATTATTTGTATTTGCGGTGAATAGTAGGAGACGTTATTCTATTTTTGTGTGCTTTATTTACGGATTAGAAGTAAAGAGCACAGAATCAGAGGTAACCTTTGCCGTCTGCCGTAAACGTCATGCTTAAACTCCATGTAAACTCCGTGTATTTCTATGATGATGATACAACTAAACGACAAGCGCCTTTCCGATGAGAGAATTAACTGATTTGTAAACTTTGGTCGATGATACACTGTAGGTATATTTTGTTCGTTGGTTTTCAGTATACCCATTGTTAATTGGACGTTTTGTTTATCTTTCTGTCAGACTGCCATCTCAAGTGTACACGCAGTGACATTAACATGGCGAAAGACGGACGCCAAGGAAAGCAAAGAACTTGGTTTAGCTGTTTCTTTAGTGGATCTGGTTTTAAAAGTAAGGTAGATTTACAAGACAAAGCTTATCTCGATTGAGTTTCTTGCGAAAGATTGTTAGGGCGGAGCTCGTATTAGTGATTTCACAACATAAAACTCAAGAGTCAATAGAAGGCAATAGGATTACTATCAAATTGTCTAGTATCTGCCAAATTGTCTCGTATCTTGCTAGTTTTCGAGGAAACCGTGAATTGTATTTCAAGTTTGTAGCTTTAAAATTAAGGTAGAATATTAGCATTACATGGATTTGTTTTTGCAACCCGAATTTTCAGCCTGGAAGTCTCGCTATTAAACTCGTTGAAATTACTGTCGAATTGTCTAGTATCTATTTCACAAGTTTTCCAAAATCTTTGTAGTTTTCGAGGACGCATTGAATTTATGAAAAGGATGCGCTTTTAAAAGGGCCAAGCGAGAAATCGAAAAGTGTAAAAATTGTCCCTGGAAAAAAAAGTCTGCAATTTTAAATGGAGTCTGGTTTTGAGTCAAACATATACAGAGTCTTTTGGCGGAAAAAATCTTGCACCAGGTAGGATTTTTCCCATCAAACGTCACAGTATTTGCTTGATTTCTGGCTAGTCTCTGTTCAAAAGCGCAGAATTTTTTTTCTTTTTGGCAACCCTACATAGTCAAAAAATAGTAAAAGAGATAGCCTACATTTTGACTAGTTTCCAGGCCCTTTTAAAAGCGCAGTTTTTTTTTATTTTGTTTACTTATTCAAATTGTTTGTAATAAATTTTAATTGAATTATTTAAAAGCCAGTAAAAGTTATATTGAAGACGCGTGTGTAATTGACTTCTATCTGCTATAGTATTTTTATTGTCTTCATATTTTTAACAATGCTAATAAAAAATATGTGTACACAATAAACACCACCACTGGCTGTTTTCATTTCTTTTCATTTTATTGTTTTGCAATCATTAATAAATAATTAATTAATTGAAAATCAATTAAATTAAACGTGTGAAGGAGAAAGTTCGCGTTTAAAAACTAAGACTTTTGGCGGGAAATTTTTAAAAATTTGCACAGCGTTTCCCTTTACAACTTTTTGGAGAAAAATTTAATGAGGTTACCCTTAAGAAGTTTTGATCGCAAAAAATTTTCAAAGGCAACAGTTGACAGAAAATCCCGTCAAAAATACTGCATCACCTCGCACCGAAAAAGCAGTTTTGATATTTAAAGTTAGCTTTTTCTCCTCTCAAAGTATTTTTTTGCCAAACACTCTTAAAAATTTCACTTTGCAACGAACTTCGCGATGGGTTTTGTGCGAGATGATGCAAGAGTTCCTCGAGACATGGAAAAGATGAAATGGCAAATGGCAAATGGATCAAACAGGCGACAATAAAATTTAATTCCAAAATGGATTTCTAAATCTCGCAAAGCGACCGTGAAAGAGCGTTTCAACAAACCGAGTTTAATTTTACCTCCAATCGAGTTTGGCTGTTTGTAGCTTGCCATTTCAGATCTTTTTCTGTCAGACGATAATATAGATGGTACACTTCGGATAAGTTGCACAGGAGCAAGAATACTCATCAATCAAAATCCAATCATTGTCCCCCCGCAAAACTGCCCAATTTCAATGGTTTATAACCAACTCATTCAAGTTTCAAAGTGTTAATTTTCTCTTTCGATGCGACCGTTCGCTCCGTTCTCTTTTCCCGTGCAACAACCAAAGTGTAAACACCACAAAACAATCAATATCTGGTTGTACAAAGATTTTTATTGCTAAAATATCACAAAATTTCTTCGGCTGGTTCAGTATAAATTATCTTATGAACTTGTAAAGTCAAATCAACGTCGGAATAATCCACGTGAAAATTTAAATGTCTTGTTGAAAAGTTTTCCAAAATACTTTACTCTGTCTTGAACAAAGCATATCGAAAAAGAATGTTTATGTTCTTCTTTTGGACGTTCAGAAATTTAAACGTTAGAAATAACAAAGGAAAACAAACATGTTTTGCAAAGGCGCCACGAGAATTTGTATGTCAAGGCACGTTTTTAATACCTATTCATATGCATATCCTTGCCAACAAATTTGTTGCTGGTCTTTCTAGTTTTGGTTATGATTGTAACATAATTGTTGCCGGCCTTTTAAATCTTGGAAAGTAATCAGTGCAATAGCTTATTTTAAATGTTTATTGCGTTGTAGTTGCATGCGAAAGGTTCTATTTTTGGAAGTCATTCCTAGACAATTGTTGAAAAACAAAAGATGGCAGAATCGAATTTGATTTGCAAATGCTAAAGCATTTGCAGAAACAGGTTTTATATTTTCAGTTGTTCTCTCAGATCTTCTTCGTACTTTAAAACTGAAAATATCAACTCTCCTTAACAATTGCCTTACTTGATCTTAATTGTAGTTCTGAGAATTTGGTAGCACATCAAGACAATATCTCCTAGTCTATGATTTTGATTACCACTCTCGCTATACTTCCCTGTCGTTTTCTGTTTACAACACCTTTTACAAACCAGATATTGATCTTAGAAGCTTAAACTTTTACGAATATCTAGAGGTTAAACAAACGTTGATCTGTCATTAAGGCGGCATTTTCAAAAATTGAGACTTGTGCAGTAATGAGCGTGTCCAGTAACCTGAAGATATCAACAACATACCTATCTCAGTAATCGCATGATTCTGAGTGCTTGTAATCTCTACGAAATTTCCTTTTAGTCTTCCGAATTCCTTAACAGTATTCCCACAACTTTCGTCGCCTTGGGCAATCTTCGGAAATCTTCGAGTTATCTCCCCAATTCTTCGGCGATCTTCTGAATACTTCGGATGACAGTCATTCGGAATCTTCGTATTTGTTTAGAATTTTTTTTCTAATTTGCAATCGACGTTTTTGGCTAGAGTCTAGATGTTTGTTTTTAAGCGTGGTTCAGATTGTTGAACATGGATGAAATGATCATGTGATTAATTTTCTGCTTTTATATTATTACATTATGTTTGAGGCCTAATTTGATGAGAATTCAATGTTTCAAGATAATTTTAACAGTAGCAAGACAATATAAATTTATCACAGAATAATTCAGTTCGTTTGTTCCAATATATATATATTTTTCCGTTTCACAGTTACAGGCATGTAACACCGAATATAACTTCGAGGTTTTACTCGATCTGAAGAGAGTAAACTGTTGCACGATAATTTTAATTCCAGTAAGACAATGTATTTGTTGTAGAGTGAATTTCGTTGTTGAACAGGCCAATTAAATCTCCTTTTGCCTAAAAGAAACCCACCCAATGTTACACTACTTCGTCGATTTCGAAATAAAATGTACGCCTTTTGATCAAAAAAATGTCGATGGTGTTGCTGAATATAGTGCCACCTTAAAAACGTAACGTTTTTTAACCACTTAAAAATATTTTTCTGAAGTCATGTCGACCAAAATGGTGGCTACCAGAATCGAGACCTCAGATTAATTACGGCTTAGGTATTGAAAAATATATATCCGTCGTTCGAAACAAATACTGTAATCCTTACAACTTAAGCTTCAAATATATTGCCACCATTTTGATCGAAAGTTATTAAATTAATTAAAATTCTTATCTTGTTGTCATCTCCAATGTTGAAGAGCCATTAACTCCCCGTGAATTTCAATCTTCGCCGTTAGGTCATTTCCTCTCCTTAAAAAAAGAAGACACAAAGGGAAACATTAGCTTTTTTTCGGGACAAATGTATTTCTAAGATACACTACTACTACCAGGACAACAAGCGACCAATGCTCGCATGAACCGGCTGCAAGTAGAAACGGTTTTCAACTTTCCGGGAGGGAGCAACACGCAACGAGAAGAACAGGAATACCAAACAAATTCAACGCAAGTATCTTACAAACTTGTGCAAACATTACTTTTTAACTCTTTCCTGAAACGTTTCATCTCAGTGATTGTAAAACTGCGACTATCTGGATTATGAACGAAGCTGTGTACAGCTCGACCGAGAAAATTGCGAAAGGTAGAACTTAAGGTAAGTTAGAAGCTGTTCCGTTTGGTGAAGAGCAAAAAGATTGAAACATACTCACCATTAACATTTTAATACTTCTTTCTCGTCCTGCCTTATCTTCTTCGAAGGAATAACACGGCCAGATCCGACATCACCAGGAGCACATAAATCCACGTCTTCACACCATGACCAAGTGTTTGGTTTGGCGCAAATTCCACAAATAGTCATGAATATTGATTACAAACTAGAACCAATCGCTGACAAAATTTCGCCACATATTTTCACGACTTGGATTTTAATTCTTATGTAAAACTATTGCATCACTTTAAAGATATCAATTTCACTCCAAATCTTTGCATTTTTAGGCTTTGTTAAGACAGTAATACCTGGAATTAAGTACGTTTGTGAAGACTGATTCACGCGGCCGTCATATTTCGTAAAAGAAACCTTTCCTGATTATATTATTGGTCGATTTTTGCCGGTTTTTTAAACATCCCGATGTAAAGACCTGATGACCTACGAATCAAAGCTTATAAGGGACGGACCATTATTTTTTGAGGGATGGGGGAGGGGGGTTGGGCAATTTCCAAAAAAAAGAGTCCTGCGCAACAAAAACTGTTGAAATAATTGTGCAAGGGAACCATGGGGAAAAAATCGACCAAGTACTTTTTACTATCCAGAAATTCTTGCACCGAAAAAAAATGCGCAACCTAAAGGTGAGCAAAAAATTCATGCCTCAGAAAAGAATTAGGGCTTAGAGGCACTTCAAAGCCTAAAGCACGTTTATCATATAAACGCTGCAATGTTTTGACGCAGTTTACTATTATGATGCAAAGAGTATAATTTGAAATGTTCTTGCGATTTACTCGAGATCAAAGATACAGAATTTGTGTACTCTTGTATATTCTACTTTCCTTGCACCATAGTTTAATTAAGGCATTGATATTACCTTTTTCGCATCACATCTGGTTCACGCAAAATTCATGTTTTGGTAGTACAATGCTTTGCTTCCTTTACTTGGTTACAACATTTTGTGCCATATGGCACTATCGGGGCTCAAAGGGTTTATTCGCATAGAAATTTCACGATTTTATTTCCCGTTTTCTCTTTAGTTTTAGTTTCGATTGACAAGATATATCAAACACTCAAGGCCGTGTTTGACCACATTTTCAAGCAACACGAACTTCGTCAAAAATACCCCGCTATACGCGTCTTATTTCCAACTCTCTTCTCAGTGTTTGAAAATGTGGTTACTACATAAACTACACAAACAAAAGAAGACTGAGTGACTTACAAATAATTTAATTGATCTTTCTTCGTTACAAAGTGTTAAGTTAATCTTTATTAAACTGAAGTGTCCTAAATATAGACAAACTCTCATTCATGTAAATAAATTCATCAATCTCTCGTCATATTTCAACTGTTTACAAATTAGAAATATTCCATTTCTTTAGTGAACTTGACGTTCAACACAAATATTTGTACATCTTATATATTTTCACCTCTATTCGCTGAAGTAAATGGACATTAATGGTATCTTTCAGCGAGTTTGCGTCGCACAATGTGAGTGATATACCAGTTATACAACGATTTCGAGTGGTATACCATAGCATATAACGAGTTATTTGGGCTTACGGTAGTCTTCAGTGAACAACGTGTTTACTTCAAGACGCCATCTTTTATAACCAACATGCATCTCGCATATAACTAACTTGAACAATACTTCATGTAAGCTAACACAACAAATATCCCACGTGTCACCTGTGTACCGAGGAAATACAAGTGACAAGTGGGATATTCCACGGTATACCACGAGAGAGCGTTGGATAACTATCTTATACCATGGCATAGAAAACACAGTGGTCAACACAATTGCGACATTCGCGCGGCGCATGATGGGAAGGGTTGGTGTAATACCATCGAATATACAACGACTTTTCTGATTGGCTGTATTTTCTATGGCATGGTACAAATACTAATATTAGTTCCTCGAACAAAGCTATTTCAAGGCAGGGATAAAACCTACCCCTAGAACGACCTATTACATCATGCAGTGGAAAAAAAGAGATGTGATACTTTATGTATGATCAACGTGTTGAAGTTTTTTTTTTCTTTTTTTGCTACTATCTGATCACACACAAATGTCCAAAGCAATCGCAGAAAACAAATACTCTCTTAACGCGATGCTCACAAAGAAACAGTACCTAAAGATCAATCGAACTTGCACAACTAGTATGCAGTAAATTTTATCTGCGTACGTTACGATATCTCTGTAACAATTCTGAATTTCACTTTGCCATCTTATGTAACTCAAATTTTTTAATTCTAGTTATTTCATGCCTCTTTTTAGCAGTAGCGATGACAAAAGAATGTCCAAACTTTGAAAAACCATCAACGTGGCTGTGAACGACAGTACTTCTTACAACATTAAAGTTACCAGCACTAGCTAATGTATAGTTTGTACTGCACTACGTTTGTTGTCAGGCCACGAGATTATTCAAACAATTCAGTTTAATTCTGACTGCAAGGCCCGCTTTTGGGCGGTTTTCAATCAGCTGAATGAATTCATTTTATTTAATGTATATTTGTAATTCTCTGTCAGCGGCTAATCAAAATGTTTAATCAATTAATATATTATTCATTTTTCAATGGCTTTTCAAACTCAAAGTACCACCGTGAAGTTATATAAGTGAGTACTGCGCTGGGAAAAATAAGGTTTCTAAATGAATCATTTGAAATACTTCGCTACGGACCAAAAATAAAGCGATTGTAAACAGGGTGGAAAAGAACGCCTTTAGCATCCGCTGACCGTTTTGAGCTGCTTGCCAAATAACGCGTACTTCATCTTTCCTTTCGTAATTAAAGCACCGCTTAGAAATCACTGAAACGCAACGCTAACTATATTGCAAGAGCACTGCAAATCAACCCTTGGAGTAAAACTGGTACAGCAAGTGTAAAGTAGTAAAAATACTAATGAAATAAAAATACATTATAAATTGTGTCAGGCTTCTTTTTCATCACATGGCGCAAGGAGTGACACGTGTTTGGTGCTGTGCGGTTCTATTCAAACACGAAACAGGTAGAACCAGCTTGACAAGCAAAATGTACAGTACCACATGAAAGTACTGCTCAATAGCTTTCAATTGCATGGTCACACACTAGGTTTTCTTTCATGGACTCGAACACACAATCTGAGAGGCGAGACCGATTTCCGTTCGTCTGAAAAATAAGCAGGCAAGTTGGAAAACAGCGTCACTCCTCCAGCTAGTGTTTCTTTAGAACAGTTTAAAAATAACTGTGATGGTTAACTCAGTTAAGAGTTGATTTTTCTTTATCTTGTTTGATTGTCCAGCTCTCATCTTTTACGAGGTGAAGACTGCATTCCGAGAAGAACACACAACCTTTGTCGGTCAAAAACTGCAAGGAAGGGTTGGAAGATCTTCCCTGGCAATGCTTAACCGGCCACGATTTTCAAGTTGGCAGCCGGACAACCCGATAAAAAAAGAAAGTGAGGTATAGAGACTTTCAATTTTCCTATCAATATTTCTTATTCGGGACCTTTGTACTTACTACCTTTCCTTTTTAAAAACCAAAATGGCGATTTCCTATTCTTGAACCTTCCCGTTTCATCAGCGTGTACTTCGGAGGTTGAATGATCAGCATTGTAGATTGGACACTCCCTGTGAGACGCGGTACGCCTCGATAACGGCCCCGCACTCAAGTCATAACAGACAGGTGTGGACTTGCATCGCGGTCTGTTCGAATTATCTAACACTTTAGATACCGGTGTGTCGGACTCCCTGGGATTTCGTGTGCTCGGGGATGACCGAGTTATCTCGAGTGAATTCGGAGATGTGGCTCGGTCGAGGGTTGAGGTCGAAGTTAAAGAGAGAGCGCATTCCGAGCCAAGACTCCGAGGAGAGCTCTTCCCATCAACGGAATCCTCTTGCGACCCCGATTCCGACGGAACAACCTTCTCCGAACTTTTCCTACGAAGAAATCCGCGTGAATGAGGAGGACTTCGGCACGAGCCTTCCTTCTCAACAAAAGTCACCACACCTCCATTTTCCTGAGGGTTTAACATACTGTAACTCCTCAACTGCGAGGCTGATCTTTGTTTGGCACCGTCCTTAACTTTCTTTTGTCTGGACGGATCGAAGTGGGTCTGTACTCGAAGAACGCGATGGAAAAAACTTTTCAATTTACTCGGAGTATTCTTCAGCAAGTCGTCGGTCGCTGTGTTAAACAGTTTATATCGACCAGCTATCCAAGACTGCCGTCGCTTCTCGGCCGATCGAACCATACTCGGTGATGTCTCGGTACTTACGATAATAGCCGGAGGAACAAGTTCGGGCGAGGTTGTAATGTCCTCCTCAACCTCCCCTCCTCTCCTGCCCTTCTCGGGGTCTAATTCAAGTTTATTATCCGGCTGATATATGTTTTGTTCCGTTGACGCTGGTGTTTGAGGAGGGCGGGAGTCCATTGCTTCACTTAAGAGGGGTCGGAAAGGTTTAGTTCCTACGAGAACGAATTCCAAGTGTTTGGCAGTCTCGACAAATGTCGGCCGGGACGACGGCTCCACCTGACCAAAAAATATACAATTCATTACTTTTTAGTATAAACTAGCCATGATCTATGCTAAATCCATGAATATGACTCACTCTACCACTGTTACATCATGGGCGCTTTCCATTCGACCAAAAATTCCGGTTTGCAGTTTCGGAAATTTCCAGTGACGAATGACACAGCATTTTCCGGAATTCTTAGGAAAGAGGACAACCTTGCGAGGTCTACCGGAAACTTCTTACCGCGAATTACCGTTCCGTTTGACTATCTCCACGGAAGTTCCAGAATTGTCGGCTGAATGATTCACTTTGCAGAAATTCGACAATTTCCGGATTTTCTGGAAACTTTCCCAGGATATTCCCTTACCACTGGTACCCGTTTCGAAAATTTCGGAATTTAAGGTTGAATGGAAAGCGCCCGTAGTAACCGATGGCGAAGGCTCGCGCATGCGTTGTCACATGCTGAGTTGAATTATGTGGAGAGAAAGAAAACTCTGTTGCTCACGACTTATGTTGAGCGAAATTGAACACAATTTTCGTAAGAAAGAACGAGGACATTTTCCACTTTGATTAATCGCCCCAGTGTCATACTGGTGGTAGTCAATTCGGCAGTGTCTCCCGCTTGGTGGTAGACAAATCAAACAAATTTTGGCATGTGATATTTAACAGCCTGTTATTTTAGGAAGAGGAAGATAATTTCGGAAGTTGTGTAAGTTTGACTGGAAGTGCCTTTAATTAAAGAAAATACATGTAAACCAATTATATATAACATATATAAAAGTAAAAATAAAATAATACAAAAGGCATTGTGTTTGGAAAGACTGAAAGACGGAAATAAAGATCTCAAGGGGGTCTGGGAATGACTACCATATTAGGTAAATGCTCGCTGACTCACTGTTACCTGGCAACAACACAGTGCAGTCTGAAGGAAGTCATGAGGACAGTCGCCTGTCATGTGTTGAAACTTTTCCACATCTAGGCCAAATGACTACAAATTAAAAGAAAAAAAAGCCAAAATATTGGTTTGAAGAGGGGCTTGAGTTTAAAAAAACACTTAAAAACATTCAAAGCCATGTACTACCTAGCTAGTTGGCCAGATGTATGAAGAGACTTTTGCTGGCCTCTATATATCACCAGTATGTACAATGGACCTTTATACCAATGTCAAGTTTTTCTGATTTTTTTCATTCAAGCAAAAAATAAACCACACCGCTTGATTTATTGTGCTAAATTTAGTAAATTACATGTATGTTCATTAGAGTCTGTTGCAAACTCATAAAAATATGGGGACCCTAACAGTAAACTTACCAATTTTTACAAAAAAATGTACGTTAGGGGGCAACACTTGCCCCATGGCATACATATCCTTGTAAGTTTGGTAACCAATTTTTTATGAGTTAACAACAGCTTCTTATAAAACTTTGTAGATTTACTAAATTCTGAATCATGGTAAATTGAACTACAGAGGTGGTTTTTGTTCATTTGAAAAATATGATCACAACTATTGATATTGCGTGACACTGGTACAAAGGTCCAGTGACTATAACTGAGGTGTGTCTTTTAAAGCAACAACAACGATGACAAAAGTTGTCTACAACACTATGAGGCTCAACAGATTATGGCCTCACTTTGTTTTTCACAGTATGAAGTCTCCCACAAGAACACAAAACAATGACCCAAGCCAGGGGTTGAACCTGCACCACTTGATGTGAAGTCTGTTGAACTTAACATTACTCCAATCCATCTCCGATAGCCATGTTATTTCACAAGCCTGGTGTGGAGCTAGGGGTAGGGGATTAGGGAGGTTTGGTCAAACCCCCTACATTTAAAAAAAAATTGAGACATTACAACAATCTGACTTGGCCTCAGAATGCCTGGGCCAAAATCCCATTTCTGAGGACCTCGATTATAAAAATTTTCTTGGGGAGGTTGCCCCCACAACCCCTTCTCTAAAATCCTGTATCCGCTCCAGTAAGCCACGATCGCTGATGTTATTTCATACCACCCTACAATAATATACAACATACATTTGTCCGAGGCAACTCATCTGGGTCAGCTGGAACCCGGCCAATGATTTCACATAAAATTATTCCATAAGAAAATACATCAGCCTGTAAAAGAAAACAAAAAAATAAAAGACAATGTCAGAGACAGAAAGACTAAAGAGCATAGGAGAGAAATAACAACCAGTAAAAGGTGTTGCTCTCTTCAGGGGTGTGGTCTGACAGTGCCTTCATAACCCAGACCATTGACTAAGGACCCATTCACACTACACTGGAGGAATTTTAAAACGGGGCTTTAGTTCTCTAGTTAGCCCTTCTGTCCACACTAAATCCATCATGAAATCGGAGATTTTCAAAAACACTCTTCAAACCAGATGAATTTGAAAATGCCGGCTCATGTTCCCACAGCATTTCTCGTTTTCCCAAACTTTCACTTGTGTTTCTATTAAACAATTAGGTTATGAGCTCAAGATTTCAATCAAGTGACAATTGATGATGGCACAGCCTCGGGAGTCAACTATCAGGCATAGAGCTCATAATCTAATTGTTTTAGTATAAATCTATGAGTCGTTCAAAACTTTATCTAAATCCTCTTGACTGACACTTCGAAAAAGCAAAGAAGTGGCCGCCAGTTTGTTAACAAGCGCACAAAGCTGGGCTACTCACTATCTACAACAGAGTAGATAATGAGTAGGCTAGCCAATCAGCAAGTGGCATTCATGATAGAGCCTTAGTGGACTTATCCTAAAGCTCGACAGAAACACCAAACATGTTTGCCCATTAATTTTCTTAAACAGTGTTACACAATTGCTTTAAAATCTTCATAGATTTGTAAATGTCAATTTATTGATCATCATGTAAATTGTCTCATGATGCCTGCTAACCACAGAATACACAGTAGCTGGGGCCAGGGGAGAGTACAAATGCAGCCAGCCTATTGCCAGGGCTTGAAAAAACTCCCGTCCACTCATCTGGGACAAGTACATTTTCCTCTTGGGCAAGTAACTTTCTCTCCTCACTTGCCCCAAGGGCAAAAGCCCAGTCAAGCTATTTGCCAACTAAAGTTTAGATGAAGCTTGACAAAAATTACAAATTATAGTACTGTTTTGTTGATTGAATGACACCTGTTCACAGTTCAGAAGTGGTTACCTAACACATGATCAATATCTGCCCAATCAAATTTCTCTCTAAAACTAAATATAACTGTGTTCAGCACCTAAAGGTTGTGTTTATTTCTTAAAAGTTCAGCAATTTTTTACGAGCATTTACCAGCTTCACTATTATGAAACCAAACTCACCATCGTATCATGGCTGTAGAAGCTGTACACAAAAAGAAGCTGTATATTTCTACCACAAAAATAAAGCCCTCACCAGCAGATAAATCACTATGTCGATCTTCAGCAAAACATACGTCAAGTTTTCTGGTGGGAATATAAGCTTTACTTGTGCACCACCACACACCATAAAAAGTATTTATTTATTAATACTATTAAAAGGAAATTGGTCAGTAAGTGTTCCTGGATTTTGATGGTAAATAGTTACTCGAAGAATTCATAAATCACTCGCCTGCAGCTTATGATTTATGAATTCTTCTCGTGTTCTTCCAACATCCCATGTGATTTATCAGCGTATAAACCATAACAACTTGTGGTCTATTGCTTAAATAGTACTTCAAGTTACCAGAGAAAAGACTATATGTAAGTGGATAAGTTTTGGTCAATTTTAAGTTGCAAATATTTTACATGATAGTGCATTGAAGTTATTCTTCCAAATTTATACAACAGTTCAAACATAAAGACCAATCTGAAAGTGTTCCCATGCGTAAATTGTCACATATATCCACTACAAGAAAATTATTTCATTTTTTTTTTTTTCAGAATAATTCACACTGTGTAATAATAGTTATCTCAATCAGGATCAGCTTCATCACAAAATTGAAAACACTACTTTTCAACTGGCAGTGTGTGAATACACACTCACAGTTAGCACCTCTGAAAGCTAATTGGCTAAGATTTAGGTGATAATTATCATATCACCTGTTTACCTTTTCATCGTAATTCTCTCCTCGCAGAAGTTCCGGCGCCATGTTATATGGAGATCCCACAATTGACTGCTCCCTGTAATCGGGCAAAAAAATAGGTTTTGCTAAATTAATTTAGAACATACAGCCTAAAATAACTGTTTGCATGACTGTATTATTGCAGTTAAGATCACAGCTATCCTGGGGAATTCTAATACACAGACACCTGTTAAAAACAAACTTAAATTATTATACTTGGTCCTGTTAAGTATTGGATAATTTTAACTTTAATTTTGGTGCGACATTTCATTGTTCCATTATTTTTTTTTCTTGGCTAGCTTTCAAAAGTGTTTTATATGCTGTACACTTTAGTACTATGCTATTACAAAAACCTTTTAACAACTCATTTTAATTAAGCCATCTTTATAGTTAGGCGTCAGGCCTTCCTGCGATGTTAACTTTAAACAAAGTGCACAAGAATAAGTTCTATTGTTGGTATGACATGTTTGAGTTGTAATTAAAAATAATCCCAATTTTTTAAAAACTATAATTTCAATTTACAATGCCAATTGGCGCACATCGACAAGGCTGAGTATAAAACACTTATAAAGTTAAAGCTATCTCAAAGTTCAGAAGAAATTTGCAACAAGATATTTCCCTTTAGGACTAGATACCATCTATGCAACATGAGAGCTTTTTTTAATAAAATGGATGCAAGTCACTAATTTCAATATATTCAATGCTAAAAACACTTTTGCCATAATCAGAAGGGTGATAATGCACTTCTAAAAGTGGAAAGATCTTAATAAAAAGTATCATGCAAGGCTCAATATCTGGATCTCAATATACAATTTGTATACTTATGTCCTGACCAAGTTTGAAGAAATTGAAGGACTTTGAACAATTCTTATTTTTTTTTAAAAATAAAATGTATATCTTCAATTAGAGATCAAGTTTACAAGTTGAGTTCGCATGGAAAATTTTTATTTTTATGTGGTGATCACTGAATCAAAACTTATCTAGGTTGTCTCGAAAATCCAAAAATAAATACACTAAATAGGATAGAGGGCTCCGATGGGCAATATCTTAGTATACACGTCAACTTAATGGACCTATTTACAACTGAAACGGAAAGCGCTTTCCAAAATTAAACAACTACACTTGATACACCCCCAAAATAAAATTCATGTTTTGAATGTTATAATTTTCTTTTGATTTCTGGTAGTTCTCGCTTGCATAAATAATGACGGTTTTTCCTCTTGCTGTGCGATCGTCGACAATTCTGAATTCCACTACTAAAGATCTTGAATAGTTCAATGTAAATTTTCAATTATTTATTGACCTCTGGGGGTAAAGGTTCCGCTAGGGAACTGATAGCAAAATTTAGCTTAAGGCATATTAAGGTATTTCCTCCAGGATATTACTAAGGTTAGTATTGCGAAAGCCGAAGTCGATTGTTTATCTGCAGATTGCGAACTTGGTTAGCGGAAACGTCCTTGCATAAAGCTTGCTTACTTTATTTCCGTTGCTAAGCCTAAATCTGCGACGAGAGCATAACGCCATCCATTTCTTTCTTTTATCAAACAATTCTGCAAGAAAATAAAAAAAATAGCGTGAAAAAAATATATATCATGAGGATAATGGAGTTTGCTGGTGTCGAATTGCGAAACATAGTCAAAAATCGACGAGTGAAAATAACACAGTTTTAATTTTTACTCACCTTTGATGTTAGATCTCGGTGAATAACACCATTTTGGTGAAGGTATCGCATCCCTTCTGCAATATCTCGTGCGAGATACAATCGTGTTGTCCAGTCCAGATAAACTGAATGTTCCAGTAAAAGGCTTTCAAGGTTTCCTCCATTGACGAACTGGAAGGAAACATCAAGTTAAGTGTTATCTTCCCAAAGGAAAACCGTACGCACCATTCAAGTACAAGAGTATCACTATCAAATGAGACGCTTGTTCCGTGTGGTCTGAAACTCGCAGGGAAGGAAATAAAGTTTAGTTGGTTAATCAAGGGTGGTGAAATGGCAAAGAAAAATGAAAATAAATACCTCGCAGAGAAGATGCACTCTGCTTTCATCTACACAAATTCCAAGAAATCTGTAAGGAAGAATATACATTTTTCAGAAGCGTGTACAAAATCAAATTCCATGTTTACAACGCCATGTATAGGCGAAGTGCTCGAGGGAATGACCAACTAAATTGAACTTGAAATACACCTTATCACATTTTCGTGCGAAAGATGGCTCATCATTTTAATTTCGTCCAGCATTGTACAAGTGTCTCTCTCCACATCAGGTTTATTCATTTTCAAAACCATAACTTCCTTCGTTTCGCGATGTTGAACCTATAACAAAACAAAACAACACAACAGAAATTAACACGGTCCAATTCTCGTCACGATTGTGAAAGCGATTAAAAACACTTGAAAAATTAAGCAGGTTCATTATAGCTTGACTAAACCTTATAAATATTTCCATAAAAGCCGTCGGCAAGTAGAGTGGCTATAAAATCCTGATAGCGGTATATACAAGAAGTGGGAATCGACGAAGGGATGCTTTCTAACAAGCTGGGATCAATTCTTCTCGACTCTTCCTCCCCACACTCGGGGCCATTGCAAGTACGACCAGCGCCGTCTTTCCCTTGAGCTGTAATATCCATGAGAACCACCATAGGTGTAATATCGATAAAGGAAGAATGTCAGCTAGGTTTTTCAGCCAGAAACTTTGTAATAACCCGACAGTTAACGTCGCTCCGACCACGCATCTTCTTGTACGAGGCCTGTGTGTACAGATTGTGTTACTTTCGAGTTGTAAACTTGACCCGCGGCCTGACGGGAATGAACACGAATCCTCGCTTCTGATTGGTTGACCTCACAACCCCTTGCGTGTTCTTGTCTATTGACTGCTGTCAATCAATTGTCTCTCATTGTTGCCGGTAAGCGATCTGTTTATAACGTGACCATCAGACCATGACCCGCAAAACAAATACTAGCTAATACTTGTGGGAAAAAGACTTTGTTTTGTTCTGTTTTGCGTTTTTTTTTAAATATTTTCAGGAATGTTCTTTCCTTATCTTTAAGTTTTTCAACGCGTTTTTGCATGTGATCCAAGGATCCCCGGAAAATTTCGTGCATTTATGCCGGGAACATGACTAACATGGGAAATTTCTTAATTTCGGACAAGAAAATACTTGTACAATTTTCTAGTTTTCCCCTATACATCTGTTCTTGCAGATCTTTGAAAATGCGAACCTCCATTACTCATTCTTTCCAAGACCCTAAGGCAAGGTAACCTGATTAAAAATACCTATTAACAGGAATAGAAAAGAGCAGTTTTCAATTGAGCGTCGAAAATAATAAGGCAATTACTTTGCCGTTTTGGTCTTGGTTTTGCTACGGCTTGAGATTGGCTGACAATAAATTGGTTTGGTTTTGGTTTCACGACACTCACTTGAAAACCACTCTCTATAACGGATGGTATCTCATGGCTTTAAATTTGTCATTTCCTGTAATGTATTTGTCTGTAACAACAACAACAACAACAACAATCTTTATTTCGTGCCCAGAAAAATTTTACAATAAAAATAAATACATGCAATGCGAAAAAATAACAATGAAAAACGGAGCACAGCCACTTAGAAATAGCTAAGGCTAATCGAGCTAAGTGGCTGGGCTAAGCGGAAAAAATATTGCAATAAAGTTACAGAATATATGGAAAAAGAAAACAGGACACGATTTCATTCACACACACACAGAGACACACACACACATACAGAGAATGAAAAAAGAAAAAAATGAATGTGCACACAAAAAAATGAAAAATTAAAGTACATCAACGTACCAGTCAGTAACAGGAGCTAACAGGAGCCGTTATGTCTGCAATCATTACTTTATTAAATCGGCCACCGTAAAAGGTTTTCCCATCTTCAGCCTTCGTGAAGAGAGGGACTATACGAGTGCCCAGTCATTGCCAGCCAAGAGACATTGGACACCAGTCCAAAGGAACTAACTGAAGTTAATCGGTGCTGCATATTTTATTATGACACAAAATCATTTTTTTTTAATGATATCAAAAAGAACCGTTCATAACAAAAAAAAAAATCAAAATATGGTCGCAATTAACTTATGCATCATAATACATAGGTCAGCATTAACGACATACGCTGTCTACTGCTTGATTTGTAGAATGAGGGCTTGTATGTGGATAAAGAAAGCATAGCTTCCATTTAGCGCGAAAATATGCTAGGAAACTCGAGGAAAGCTGTGAGCTTTGAGGAACAGATAATATCCAAGGACAAATATTCAGAGCATATTTTCCCGCCAAACAGAGGCTATTGCGCTTATTATCCCACGGATATTTATCACAACACCTGCAGTGTTGAAAATTCGGGAATATCACTCGGACATTCTCCAGTTTTCAGTCAAGTGACGAGTTTGGACCAATGGCGCGCAAGCTAAATTATTTCTGCAGTTCAGATTTCTCGATACAGCTTTCCTGAACAATTCCAACCATTTTCAAACAGCTTTTCACAAATCGTTTCACCTGGAAATAGAGTGAAATTTANGGGGGGGGAGGGGGAGGCGCAATTAATATTTTCGGGAAAACGATAAACAGGAGCCCGTTTCTCGAAGGTCCCGAAAACTTTTCGCATCCGGAAAGCCGTAGGAAAATCTCAAACCTTATGATTACAGAGCTGTTTTATTCACGTAATCTTCATATGAACAAAGGTTCTCTTCATACAAGAAGTTTCAGTCGTATACACTTCTCTGCTTTTAGATACACAGCAATTAAAAATGCCTTTCCGGGCCCGAAAGGTTTCCGGGGATTTCGAGAAACAGGCATCAGAAGTCCAACAGAAATATGAAAAGAATAAAGTCAAAGCTCGAAAATGCAACCACTGGGCTACAGGGGAACTCCTTGAAATGGGTAGCAAATTTAACAATACCTATATGCAAATGGAATGAAGGTTTTATTGACATTACAAAAACTTGCTTTGCAAAACGTGCTGTGAAAATTATGAACGACCTTGCTTAAATTAGAAAGTTTTCTTACAATTCATTATTAAATCTTTCCAAAATACAAAAATGAACCCCCAATGAAGATCAGTACTTTTCCAAGTCTTTGCCCATTTTATACAAGCTAATAAAGAGCGGCTTATGTGAAAAAAGACATGGTAAGATGGGTAAAATTAACGGTCATACAGGTTTGATGTCCTTCCTTTAAAGCTCTTTTCACACCTAACTTGGTTCAAAAAAAAAAAATAAAAAGAAGATGAAACAAAAAAACATCAATGGAGTCCAAAGGAAATATGAAAAAAAAAAATTAAAAAAAGCCGAGTGCCCCGGCGGGGTTGAACGCCATGCCCTTCCGAATAGAAGCTCGATAATGTAACCACTGGCCTACAGGGAGACTCCTTGAATTAGGCAGCAAATTTAACGGTACCTATATGCACATGAAATGAAGTTTTTATTGACAGCTTAAACTAGCTTTGTAATACGTGGTGTAGAAATTACGAACGCCCTTGCTTAAGTTACAAAGTTTCTTTTAAATTTATTATTAAATCTTTGCGAAATAGTAAAAATAATGACCTCTCCATGAAGATCAGTACTTTTGCAGGTCTTTGCCAATTTTATACAAGCTAATAAAGAGCGGCTTGTATATAAAAAAGAAATGGCAAGATGGGTAAAATTTAGGGTCATCCAGGTTTGATGTCCTTCCTTTAAAGCTCTTTTCACACCTAACTTGGTTCAAAAGGAAAAAAAAAGAAGATTGCAGGAAAAAACATTCATGGAGTCCAACAGAAATATCCCAAAAAAACGCGGAGTCCCCCGGCGAGTTTGAGCGCCATGCCCTTCCGAACCGAAGCTCGGAAATGTAACCAGTGGGCTACAGGAGGACTCCTTGAATTGGGTAGCAAATTTAACGATACCTATATGCACATGAAATGTAGTTTTCATTGACAGCTTAAACTAGCTTTGCAATACGTGCTGTGAAAATTATGAACGCCCTTGCTTAAGTTACAAAGTTTCTTTTAAATTTATTATTAAATCTTTGCGAAATAGTAAAAAAAAAATTGAACTCTTCATCCAGATCAGTACTTTTGAAGGTCTTTGCCTATTATATACAAGCTAATTAAGAGCGGCTTATATGAAAGAAAGAAATGACAAGATGGGTAAAATTTACGGTCATCCAGGTTTGATGTCCTTCCTTTAAAGCTCTTTCCACACCTAACTTGGTTCAAAAGAGAAAAAAAGAGAAAATTGTAGCAAAAAACATCAATTCAGTCTAACAGAAATATGAAAAATAAAAAAAACGCGGAGTCCCCCGACGGGGTTGAACGCCATGCCCTTCCGAACCGAAGCTCGGAAATGTAACCACTGGGCTACAGGGGGACTCCTTGAATTGGGTAGCAAATTTGACGGTACCTATATACACATGAAATGTAGTTTCTATTGACAGCTTAAACTAGCTTTGCAATACGTGCTGTGAAAATTATAAACGTTCTCGCTTAAGTTAGAAAGTTTCTTTTAAATTTATTATTAGATCTCTTCGAAATAGTAAAAAAACATGACCTCTTCATGAAGATCACTACTTTTGCATGTCTTTGCTTATTTCATAAAGCTGATAAAGAGCGGCTTATATGAAAAAAAAGAAATGGCAAGATGGGTAAAATTAAGGGTCATCCAGGATTAATGTCCTTCCTTTAAAGCTCTTTTTACACCTAACTTGGTTCAAAAGGGGAAAAAAAAAAGGATTGTAGGAAAAAACATCAATTCAGTCCAACAGAAATATGAAAAAAAAAAAAAAAAAGAAAAGAAAACAAAATAAAATCTTTAGCTGTTAAAAGTAAGACCTTTCTAAAGGCAAGCAACTGAATAAACGTTTCTCGAAGAAAGGTGCGAAAGTACTTTTTGTAAGTAAATCCACGCCTTTTAAGACACCGAGATTAAAATAAAGAAACTCCTGGTATTGAAAAAACTTCACAAGCACGTTCAAATGTTCTCATAACACAACCAAACATTGCTTTGTTGAAACGAATCAGTTATTATAATCAATTTTAGCCTGGCTCCCAGAGAAATAACAAAAACCTAGTCTATTATCCTTCCTAGCTCAAGATATTCGCCTAAAAATACAAAAGCGCGAGCTGCTGGCCGAGTATAATCATTATATTCGCATTAATTCGCGCGATGCGATGGCAGTGGATAAATTCATTGGCGCTAAATTAAGCCCTTCTGCTGGACACTCGAGAAAAATCTTCTAATACCAGTGCGAAAAACCATGTTTATAGTACTAATTTTTGCTTTTATAAAGCTTTCAATACCGTCCCTGCCTTCAAACGGACTATACATAATAATTTTCTTTATATTCCTTGACAACAAAATACAGGAAATTGTCCGAAATCATTGTCTGACAATAATTCAAATCGATCTTTGTTTCCACGAGCACTTCACTAATCCACTGTGTTCCACACTGCTCCCTTGTGTTACTCGTACGCGCATCGCAGTGTTTGAATCCCGCTTGGCAAATTAAACACATTGAAGTCTACTAAAAAAAGTCACTCGTAAATTAAAACGAATTTTAATGTTTTTCTGCACGTGTTGGTTTAGCTGGTAAGCGACCTGCAAACAAAACAGGTGCTTGTATGTAATATTGACACAGCACAACCTGACCCTATCCACTCCATCACTTAGAACTGGCCAGCGAAATTTATAAATGCTAGTAAATGTAGAGACTTGTCGCATATTTTTCGCATTTTTTTCCAAACAGGCACTGGCAATTTTCCCGGCCTCGTTCCTATTCAATGGCGCGACTAAGCTCGCTCCGAGCTCGCTTCGTTTATTCCGCTAATTCCAATCAACTTTAATCACTAATTTTTTTCCGATGTCAAAGCCTGCACAAATATTAGCAGTTTGAAGTAAATATCTTTTGATTGCACAAGAAAGGGAAGTTCTTTTTGATTTACAGAACACACAAATTTTATACGCAATATGTTCTACTAAGAGACCAAACTTCAAGGAAACACATTTTCAAGTTCTCATTTCCTTTTAATTAACGTTCAATTTTGCCTGCTTCTTAAACGTCGCGACAAAAAAAAGAAATATCTTCTAAAAACCGCGTCATCGTCTGGTAGAAATATTCCTTGAATTGAGACATTTTTATTGCCTTATTTTAAGACTTAAATCGCAAACAGATATTTACTGGACGTGTAATATTTTCGGGCGAATTAATTAAAAAAAAATCATTATTGGCGATCCGGTGTTAAAGACGTTTTCTCGTGAATGTCTAATTTTCATTACTCTATACAGCTTGTCTCCCATGGTTTCCAGAAGCAATTCGCTCACAATAGCCTTTACATATCGCTAAAACACCGCACGAAATTACAATCTGTAAAAGAAACAGCGAAAAGATCACAACACAATTTTCTCGCAAGCGCTGCTTC